GCAACCCAGTTCTTTGGCCATTGGTTCTCTGTAAGACATAAGAATGAAATTCATTTTCTCAAATAAAAATAGTGATAAGTTCTCAGCTTAATGCTTTCCTTTCAAATAAAATAATTTGCTTTTTTAAAATATGTTTTTATTGATTTGAGAAAGGAAGGGAGAGTGAGAGAAACATCTATGAGAAACAACGTTTGGCTGCCTCCTGCATGCCCCCTACTGGGGATCAAGCCCACAACCCGGCATGTGCCCTGACCCGGAATCAAACCCACGACCTCTTGGTGCATGGGATGACACTCAGCCAACTGAGCCACACTAGCCAGGCAATCTGCTTTTTTGAAAGTCACACATAACAGTCTTCTGTTTTGAAGAGACCTGTTTTCATGCAGAAACTTGTGTTAGAAGTTATAGTAAAACCTCAATATAATGGACTAATTTGGGTAAGGCAGTGTCCAGGTGGCCCAGTTGGTTAGAGCGCTGGCCTGCAGACCAAAGGGTTGCAGGTTTGGTTCCTGGTTAAGGGCATGTACCTGGGTTACACGTTAGTTAGATCCCTGGCCAGGTCTGGGTTAGGGTGTGTGAGGGAGGTCTGTTAAAGTTGAAAGTCTGTTATATTTTAAATTAGTTTTTCAGAATGAATATGTTAAAAAATTGACAAGTTAGTTAGTTTACCTGTTTTTACTTATGTAAACATGTTTGTGTAATTAAAATTAAGTATATATGAAAAGTTTAATTTCATTGGAAAGTTTTCTATACATATTACAATAATTTTAAATTTATACTAAATAGGTCTAGTAAATGTGTATACTCACCAATCACTGAGAGTAAACCAATGCACACGGCTAGGGCATTGGTTAGTGCACATTGGAACATTGGCAGGCATGAGTTAGAACTGCTGTAGAAAGTCACGCCACACCACAACAGAACCAGTTACCAAGCGCCAAGTGGTGTGATCACCTGCTAATCATTCGCAGGGCTTTGACTCTTGAATTTAAATATATAGACTATAGTTGTAGATATGTGACATTTATTTATGTTGGTGAAATTACTACAGTGTTTTTTCCAACATATGGCCTATTTGCTAAAATTTGTTAAAACTAACAGTGAATTGCCCTGGCCAATTGGCACAGGTTAGAGCATCTTCCCAAGCACCGAAGGGTTGCAGGTTCAATTCCTGGTCAAGGGCAAGTACCTGGGTTGCAGGTTCAATCCCGATCCTCGGCCCCTGTCAGGTGGGTGTGGGAGGCAACCAATCCATGTGTTTCTATCACATTGATGCCCCCCCCTCTCTCCCCCTCCCTCCCTTCCACTCTCTTTAAAATTCAATGGAAAAAATATCCTTGGGTGAGGATTAAAAATAATAATAATAAAATAACAACATAACGGTGAATAGCCCTGGCTGGTGTGGCTCAGTGGGTTGGGCATCATCCTGTGTTATCAGGAGGTTGCCTGTTTGATTCCCTGTCAAGGGCATATTCCCAGGTAGGGGGTGTGCAGAAGGCAACAGATGGATGGATGTTGTGCTCCCACATCAATGTTTCCCTCTCCCTTTGCCTTCCTCTCTCTCTAAAAATCAACAAACTATTCTTAAAAAAACAACAGTGAATTAATAACAAAAAAAACCCTATTAATTTAATTATAAACAAATCTTGGTTAAAAGCATTTTAAAACGATAAAGGTATTAATTTTCATGTATGACATATGGACTGGAAATTTTGTCCGTTAAATCCAAAGTCTGGTAAATCAAGGTCAGCAAAATCAAATGTTTACTGTATCAAATTTAGGACACCAGAAATGTGGAATCCAGTGATATTACAAATAAGCCGAATAAATTGGAAATTATATATGGCATATTGATATATGATCAGTATGAAAAGTCTACTCAGAAAGTGAAATTCTGGCAAGTTCTTGCTTTGGTCAAAGTTGTCAGACCTTTGAACTTGGACTTTTTTAGCTGATGGCTGCATTGGTCTTCATGGTTCATCAGGGGTTGATTATCAGTCCCAGAAACTAAATACTCCCTTGCTGTGCAGGGGTGGGACTCAAACACTGCCTACCTCTTTCATCTCTGAGAAGTTAGTAAGGGAAAGAGAGTCAGGCCTATGGAGAAAATTCTGGAAGCAATCACATAAAGATGGGTGAGACCAGCGCAGACCCTTGGAGATCATCTCTTGAAGCAGCACTGTCCTGGAGAAATTTCTGTGAAGATGGAGATTGTCCCCACCTTTGTTGGCTAATACAGTAGCGACAGACTGCATGTGAACCCTTGAGATATGGCTGGTGGGAATGAGGAATGAATTTTTAAAAAATTAAATGTTTTTTAGGGCAGTTTTAGGTTCACAGCAAAACTGAGTGAAAAGTAGAATTCCCATATACCTCCTTGTCCCCACATCCATACAACCTCCCCATCAATGACATCCTCCACGGTAGTGGTACACTTGTCACAATTGATGAACTGACATGTCATTATCACCCAGAGTCGATAGTTTGCATTGGGGTTCACGCCTAGTGTTGTCCATTCTATGGAGAAATGTTTTTAATATTTAATTGTAATTAATTAAAACTTCCATAGCCACACGTGGTGAATGGGCCACCACCTTGGGCAACAAAGCCCTGGACTCTAGTGAGAGAGTCCCCAGGACAGTTGATAACTGCCAAGCATGGTGGCCACAGCAGTAGGGGCATCCCAGGCCACTCAGTCTACCCATGTGGGACTCACACCACCAAGCCTGTTTTCAGCCAAGAAGGTGCAGTAGAGTCTGTTGTCATTGCCCCTGTAGACTCTGACACCCAGGCTGGAAACTGCACATATTTTCCAGACACCGTTGCCTACCAGTTTCCCATGTTCTGTCAAAAGGAAGTCGGGCCCAGCCCTTGTGGAGGTCATGGTTCGATTCCCTGGTCAGGGCACATGCCTGGGTTTTGGGCTCAATCCCCAGTAGCGGGTGTCCAGGAAGCAGCCAATTGATTCTCATCATTGATGTTTCTATCTCTT